CTAAAGCATCCCGTCTCCAAGGAAATGGGAACCCAACTGATGAAACTGAGACAAGCTCAGGAGCAGGCGTGACATTCATAATAAGTCTGACAATGCATAGCAAGTTTTTATTTAAAATAGCAGGTAAGTCAGTAAGTATAATCTGTACAGGAGTATGTATTTTTTTCTATTTTGGTAATTTGATTGATGTGAAAAGACATTTTTTTAAAAAAGGAAAGGTTTAAGTATTCTCTCCTACCGACCAGTGCCTTATCTGAGCATTATGAAAAGGAGAATCTCTCTCTCATCTAAAACAAAATTGGCCATAAAGACACATCTGGATTTTAACAATTTCCCCCAAATCATGAATAAAGAAAAGGGCAGAGGAATCCTAGATAAAATATAATCTCCATTCAGCGGAGACCATACTGATCTTCCAAAGGGAAATAGCTAAAAGTCAGAAAAACCTCTAAGAAACCAGCTTTAGAAAAAATAACAATCAAAATGTAAGCAAATGTTTGTTCATTGTTAGACATCACAGCGCCCATTTCATTACAGAACTGGCATGATTTCCAAATTCTTTTTTTTTTTTAAACTGGCTATGAAACCAGTTTCTTAAAAAAAAAATGCCACAGAAAAATATGAATGTGATCGCTTGGATATCCTGCATCTTCAACCATTCCAAAAATAGGTTTAAATGGTTTTTTTATTCACTGCCGAGTGTAAACTCAAAAGTAGTAGTAACACCAGGGTACCTGAAGAGTCTGCAAAGCCACAGAGTCGTATCAGAAAGGATTTTGGTGGTAAGTTTCCTCAGTCTGTCCCTGTCCAGTACCGAAATATAAGCAGCCAAGCTGTGTCCTAAGAGAGCCATGTGACCCTGTTCCCCCACATTCTGAAGCCTGCAAACCAGGAAAAAAAGAGATAGAGAGAGAATATGACACAAATCACACTTTCATTTATGTGTGCAGAAAAGCCCTTCCTAATATATGTAAAAACAATCAGGGGGTGATTTTATTGGAAGTACAGTACAGTGGTACCTCGGGATACAAACTTAATCCGTTCCGTGACTCTGGGCGTATCCCGAGTTGGTCGTAACCCGAAGGAAATTTCCCCATAGGGTTCAATGTAAATCCAGGCGGAGTTCGCAAACCGAGGTAAAATTTTGGGGCCAGAGCTGGTCGTAACCCGAAGGAAATTTCCCCATAGGGTTCAATGTAAATCCAGGCGGAGTTCGCAAACCGAGGTAAAATTTTGGGGCCAGAGCTGGTCGTAACCCGAAGGAAATTTCCCCATAGGGTTCAATGTAAATCCAGGCGGAGTTCGCAAACCGAGGTAAAATTTTGGGGCCAGAGCTGGTCGTAACCCGAAGGAAATTTCCCCATAGGGTTCAATGTAAATCCAGGCGGAGTTCGCAAACCGAGGTAAAATTTTGGGGCCAGAGCTGGTCGTAACCCGAAGGAAATTTCCCCATAGGGTTCAATGTAAATCCAGGCGGAGTTCGCAAACCGAGGTAAAATTTTGGGGCCAGAGCTGGTCGTAACCCGAAAAATTCGCAAGCAGAGGCGTTCGTATCCTGAGGTATCACTGTATTATACTTAAGCTGTATTTCTTCTCTATCTGAAAGAGTGATTATGCGGCTCAAGCGGGTGATGGCTTAAAACCAAGTTAAAATCTAATCCGCTGTATGTTGTAAACTGGATTTTAACTTGGTTTTAAGCCATCACCAGCTTAATGATGCTCCTTGGCTGAGGGCTTCTTTTCTTCTCAAACATTTCCCTGGACTTCAGTTCCTCTGCCACCTGAGACTGATTTTAAAAACTTTTGCCAGCTAGTTTTTAATCTTCTTTAAAACCACGATTACTTTTCTCTTTCATTCGATTTTAACACCTTGATACGAGCAGCCCTGAGCATTTCTCTGGGAATGCAGGGTATTAAGAAGCCCAGGATTTTCTACACGTTACAGGTAATCAACGCAGCCTACCACTAATGTATTTGTTTTTCCTGAGAAGCAGGGAATCAAACCTGCAGATCAGTATGTGCTTCTACAAATCTGTCATCTATTTAATCTTCTGAAAGATACTGGGGTGTTCCCCCCAAAAGGATAAGAATATTTTCCAAAACCTGATTTCCCTGGATTTTGGTTTAAGCATGCTTTTTTCCAGGAATGTTAAAAACAAACCCAACAACCCATTAAGTATATTCTGTGTTAGAGAGAATCTTCCAAATAATGACTTTGGATCCAAAAAGCATGAGCAAAAACGGCCCCCAGCCTTTTCCACAACCTTGGCAGATCTCTAAGAAAGGGTTACCGGTAAGACTGTGGTGATTCTTCTTCCTCATCTCCGTGCATAAGAGTCTGAACTAACTGGAGAATGCTCACCATGTCCTGTCCACTAGAGGGAGGGAGGAAAACACAAATCCGTCTTGATCACAAGGCATGAGATGACTTTAGTGTAGACACTCTTAATATCTATGGTGCTTGTAAGACATATGGACATGTACAGCATAAGAGACCTGCTATATTTGATCAGACAACATGGGCAGGTAGCTGGAAAGTAGAAACAAGGACCAATATCTCCCATGTGCCCAAAGTACATACTCTAGAGATGATTCTTTCTGCTAGTTATGGAGACGGAAAACCATTCTCCTTGTTTCTGCTGCTCACCATCTACCTCACCAGCTAAACAAGAATATCCTGGTTAAGGGCCATTTTGGCAAACTGGCACACCAGATATATTTATAAAGAGAAATTCAGGTAACAGTTCATTTGAAAGGAATCTGGGCATTGCCGTTGATCTGTTGATTGCCAAATGGATATGAGTCAGCAGCCTGACATGGCCGCTTAAAAAACAAATGCAATTTTAAGCTGCATCAAAGAAGCGTATTTCCAATCACAGGAAGGAATAGTTCCACTATCTTCTGCTCTGGCCAGACCCAATTTCAAATCCTGTATCCAATCCTCACCTTTTAAGAAAAATTCAGAGGAAACTAGAAGAGATGCCAAGTAAGGGAATTGGGGATGGGAAACTAAGTCTGACTATAAGTGACTGAAGAAGCTCTGCTTAGCTTTGAGAAAAGACAACTTGGAGGAGGGGTGCAGTGATCCTCTTCAAGTACCTAAAGGGGTTTTGCACCAAAGATTAAGACTTGTTCTCTTCTGTCCCAGGTCAGAATAATCATTTTAAGTTATAGGAATGCACATTCTGGTCAAAACTCTTCCTAATTATAAGAGCAGTTCAACAGTGGAACCAATTACCTAGAGAGATGTTGAGCCATTTATTCCATATGCTTTGATTTAGATTGTTGCACTGAGCATGAAGTCGGACTCAATTGCCCAAATGGCCTTTTCAGCTCTATGACTGCTGTTATGCAAATCAATGGACCATCTGTCCCAATGTTGGCAACATTCTCACATCACATTTATGACTAATTAATGTGACTGTCAGTCACCAAGATCACATGATTTGGCAACTGAATTAAGATTCTTCTGCTCTCCCCAGCTCCAATTTCCAAAAATCAAAATAACCAAGTTATTAGTGGAAGAAAACATATAAACACAGAGAGAGGAAAAATCCTAACTCATGATCATGTTACTTACCTGCCTTGAAGTGGCCCAGGAATATCCTTTCTTGTGTAGTTCTTTTCATTTTCTTCCTCTGTTTTCCTAATTTTAAAATAAAACAACAGGAATTGGTGGCAGACTACGCAACAGAGATTTTCTGCTGCAACTGGATTTTGTGAAAAAGAGCTACATTTGAATAGCTACTTGGCTGCCAGAGTGCTGAATCCAATCTCTTTTAATGAAATGACAGGTTAAAAAAATTACCATATCAAACAACATTTGTCAGCTAGTGTTATTTATTTATTTATCACATTGTATACTGCCATAATCAAGGGATGACTCATCCATCTTATCAAAGCAAAAGCAGATCCCGTTGATTCATAACAGGAAATGTCATCCTGACCTCTGAACAATTTTTGTGCTCTCTTTTAAAAACAGGTTTGCACAGTTTTCGCAGGACTGCATAAAACCAAAATCTCCCTTTTTTCTCCAACAATAGAACATGCGAGAATATATATATATATATATATGAATAAGGGAATATCTATAATGTACCATCTGCTGTTTAAAGTTTATGTTCACGTGACTTGCTTAGCTGTGGTGATGTAACCTAGGCTTACTTCGTTAACCTAATTTGCTGGAAAAGAGGACACATTAAAACATCCATCACCTACAGAGGCTGGATTCACACACCATCCTAGATGAAACTCTAGGGGACTGGTTTGTGGTTCGCTGCATTGTGTGAACATACCTAAAGTTTACTTTTAAAAAAAAGAAAGATTGGTGTAATTACCAAGTGATATCCTTAATATTACATTTAGCTTTAGCCGAGAATAAGAACCACAGAGACTTGAGTTAGTCCCATCTTCATGCCCCAGGCCTAAATTTAATATTTTGGCAAACTCTAACCACATTTGACTGGATGAGGAGGAAGAGTATCCAGTCCTTTCTTCACCACAGTCACTTTCCCCAAGGAGAAAAGCAGGATTCCTCCTGTCACTTGTTCTGGCCTTTCACATGTCAACTGTCACAATGAAGAACTTCAAGGCTCCAGAGGTGTCTCCTGCCTCTCTAATTCCACCTTTGACAGCACAGAGATATTTAGAAGTGGGAGAGACAGTCCTGCTATCCCTCAATAAACTCAATAAATAATAAATAAATAATAACAAACTGTAGTTTATTATCATCCTTTAGCTTCTAACCTTTGGTTAAACAAGCACTGCAAATCAGAAAGGGAAACAAACATGCAGTTTGGGTAAATCAGACAAGTATATATTTTCTAAAAACAGGATTTACAAGCACCACAATTATTAATAGCAATGCTCTTGAGTTCCAGCAAGTCCTCTTCAAGACTATTAATATTAAATACCTTTGATTATCTTCAAGCAGCTTCATGGCCTCATTAAGATTTTTTCCCATTTCTGCTAAGGTAGGATCAACCATCTGTTATTTTAAAAGAAGATGAAAAAACAAACTCAATCATGTTGTACAGTTCTAATTCTTAAGTATCCAAACCGCATAAGTCACAGAAAGCAGCTAGCATCTCTTGAGCCATCTCTGGTCTGGGGCCCCCATGGGCTGGATGTCATTTCAATCCTCTGTAGGCATTTTGCTAGCAGTGATGGGCACTGTAGTTTCACATAACCAGAGGAAGCCAGCCTAATGAAAGCTGAATTGAAGAAATGTTCTGAGGAACATCTCAATTGTTCTTTTAAAGGTTCCTGCTATCATTTGGGGGGAAAAGCATATAAACCCAAGAGTCACTGTGGTACATTCTTGTAATGGGAAACTCTGATCAGAGTCATGCTGCCCATTTCCCAGCATGACTCATTATACAGGTTGTCTAGAGCTTTTCTCTCTTCCTTCATGGTTGCCTTTCAGAGATTCTATAAAGTTCACCAGAAAAGCTAAAACTGAGATCTTTTTCATTGAAGGCTTTAAAAGGTGTGGGTAGCTTCAAATGCTTGATTTTCTTTATGAGAAAAGTGCCTTACAACTTGATTAATTGCTCATTTTGTTTCTTGGGTCTCAGGTCAACTTGGACATGAAACTGGTTGTCGGGGATCTTTTACCTTGGAGTTGCAAAAAATGCAGACTGGAGGCTATCTATGATCCACCAACATTCATTTTACAACTCAAAACCCCTCTTATAGTAGCTGAACCCAAAATATTTCCCCCACCTTTTTATTTTTGGGGAAACTTGGTGAGGTTAAGGGGCGATCTGGATATTTAAAATCTCCATTTCACCCCTGCAAAATAAATCTTGATCTTTTCTACTTTTGGAGTCACTCTTCAACATGTCATCCACGTCTTGGTGCATTCCTATTTTATAGGAAAAACCTGGGCTTTTTATTGTAAAGAGTAAGCATTTGCTCGCCAGAATAATACAGTATTTAAAAAGCTGGTAGGTATGAACTTATTATATGCTCTAAATTACATGAAGAGCCATACACTTACAATTTATAACTGCTGCCTGGTCTGAGGATTAAGTAAGATAAGACATACAAGAAAATAGTGGTTAGTGCTTTACAGCATTACATCACACAAACACACATATATATTCTGGAAAGTGATTGGGTTTGCACGCAGCATCACAAAGGAGCTTCAATGAATCCACATCAACAAAACATGTCCCTAATTATTATGTACACCTCAGGTAACTAGGTGGTAAATGTTATTCAAAGTACGTGGAGGAGAAATTGTAACAGCAGCCTACAAAAATACAGAGCTAAGCTGACAACCATAACATAATTGGGATGAGCAACCAGTTGGGAGGCAAGACGTCAATTTCAACAACTGATATGAGCCCCCACGTTTTTTTCCCTCCTGAGGGGGACTTTTTTTTCATACTTCGGAGCTGAAGATCTGGTCCACCTTTAAAACAAAAAAGCAAAGGGAGAAAATGCTGGTGGTATCACCCAGCTGCATCAACAGTGCTAAGCTGCAGATGTTACTAGGAACTGTATTCCCAACGGTCTGCAGGCATATGTTTTCCAGGATCATCAAGCACAAGGAGAGAGTCCTGCTGGAGTTCGGTTGAAGTCTCCCAGCTTAAAAGTATCCTTCCCATCTCATAACTAAATGTTGTACCTGGGAAGAGGCGCCCATGGAAGAGAAATGCAATTCCAAGATGATCATGAGAAATCCCATAGTTGAGACTGGTGTTTTTCAACCTTGGCAGCTTTCAGATGGGTGGACTCCAATTCCCAGAATTCCCCAGCCA